TGTGAGCGCGTGTGTGAGTGTTTGTGTGTGTGTGTAGGGGGGCATGTATTTCAGGAATGTGTATGTTTGCTCTCTGGCTTACTGAGTAGAAACGGCTGTGGGGTGGGGTGGGGGGGATCAGGGACGTTTGGTTTCAACATGTTTCAGGTCACTTGGGCTCCATCATCTCCATGACTAAAGAGCGGTCAGCGGGGCTGATCTGGGATCAGAGCAGGGGAACTAAAGATGGCGTTAAGTTTCCGATGTTTGGCGCTGACAGTCGAGTTGAGCTCTCGGCTGCGAGCTCAGCTGAGGCCGCGGGACGATCGCGCGCGTGACTCACAAAGCCAAGCCCGAGGCTTCACACGCCTGCAGGTCACCCCGTCCAGACACATAAGTACAGAGGATCAGACAAAAGGAGGCCTTTCATTCGCACAATTTCCGCAACGCAGCCTCAGCCGTCCACGGCTTCTGAAGCGCCCGGCGAGGCTTGTTCCAGCACGAGCGCCTTTCTGCTGACTGAGCGAAAAGCTTCTGAGAACAGTCTGACACAGCAAACACAGGAAGTGACGGCTGAACTCACAGATATTTGAGGTTTTCCAGGTCTTCGAACGTCCCCCTGGGGATCCTCCGGATGTGATTGTTGTTGAGAAGGCTGAGGGGAAACAAACAAACTGCTTCAGTGTCAGTGCCTGTACTGTGTTAGCTTAGCAAAGAGCCGCAGCAGGTCAGAGGTGCAAAGCGAGCTCAGGTGAGACGTTCAATTCCTCGAGCCGACCTGCACGCGTGCGAAAGCAGCAGAATGAGGCATGACTGTCAGCATGAACCTTTCAGCTCCGTCGTCACGCTGAGCTCGTGCGTCTGGCTGGAGAACACTTACAGGGTGTTGAGGTTCTTTAGTCGCCTGAAGGAACCCGGCTGTAAATCCTTGATTTTGTTGAACCTCAGGTCTCTGAAAATAGAAGAAAGCATGTTCATAATCAGGAACACGAGCCGAGCATAACATTTATCCATTCAGACCAGTTTGTTCTGGGAGATTTCTATTAAAAAGACAAGACTGGACCATAAAACATCTAAACAGCACATTTTGCACATTTCTGTTGCGCCGTCTTCGTTTAGTTTTTTTGCCATTTTTGCAGGTTATGTAGTCCCGTGTTGACTGTCTGTCATATGTAGCACCACGGTCTCACTGTACACCTGCACATGGCTGAATGACAATAAAGCCACTTGACTTGAGTTCAGACAGACAGGAAACCTGCTGATGTCCACGAGTTCAAGACTCGGCTGTCAGTGCCAGCAGAGGCTTTTTAACCAAATATGACATGAACATTTTTACTTATTTAAGTTGTCAGATTACTTTTGAGCCCCTGAGATGAAGGAACTGTTAAACATGTGATCCTCACATTTGTAAACAAATGAATTAAAGCTGAATCTGAGCTGTTTCATTCAAATTCACTCAGACAGAACCAAGAACCAAGTCTGTCCAAGTGTTTATGGACCTGAGTGTAAACGTCTGTTAATTCATGTGCATAGCACGAAACTGATCCAGAAATTACATAATATCACTCATTTCATTTATTTGTGTGTCATTTATTTTTCTTTTTATGCATCTGTGTAAAATAAGTTAATAAATACAGAAACAAATAAAATGGAAATAATTATTTCCTGCTTTATTAATTATTATTATTATTAATTATTTTGTCTGCTTGGACTTTATTCATTCATTTATTTCACTGAATAATTGAATAAGTAATAATGCACTGGCATGAATAAAGATCAATAATAATAACGACCTTTATCTTTGTTTTAAATGCTGCTTTTAATAATGAGTTTTGCCAAATGACGATCAGAGAAAATGCAGGAGGAAAATCAATCGATCAATAAAAAGCTAAATGAATAAGCAGCACTTCTATGAAGGCTCAAAATCAGCAAACCTATGAATGCAAAGCTGTGCTGCATTAATAAAACATGCAGGAGAGCAGGATGTAAGTACTGGATAAAAGCTGAACAGGGACCATAAAGTCCAGCGCAGAGCCGCCACGCTCTCATCCTGAGGCATGTCTGGGCGTCTTACTCATGTGGCAGGAATGCTCTTATCGAGCTTTAATCACGAGGACCGATTTAAAGCACATCAGCCCCAAAGATAACAAGCAGAAGGCTTCGTAATGAGCTCAGGCACTAATCAGCCTTAATAAGAGCGAGCGTGCCGTCGGTGCGACGAGCTGAAAACATGCCGCTCCTCCAGCTTGGTGAAATCTGAACGTTGTGTCTTTAGCTCTGAGACATCTGAGCCGTGATGTTCTTTCAGTGCCACAGAGACACGAGCGTCAGGACGGATCCACGAGGCCGAATCGTCACTGAGCTGAGAGTCGAGACAGGAAAACATCAACGCTCCTCCTCCTCTAGAAGAACTCCTCCCCCGGCAGAGCTCCCAGCATTCTTTGTATCCGCCGACCTGGCAGAGGAAGTCATCTGGGTCACTCAGACCCAAACTGACAGACATCCGGCTGCTGAGAGCCCGACAGCCCCCCCAACTCTAAAGACTCATCCTATGAAATCCAAAAACCTGAAAATCCAAAAGCTTAAACCTGAAATCTGATCAGTTCCACTGAAGAAATCTACACAGGGTGCATTCTGGGTAAACTGAAGGCTCCTGTCAGCATTCCTGTTCACAAATTCCTTCGTGCCAATATTTAAAGGACCCGCTCCAGAGAGCTGGGACCGGGCCGGGTGCAGGACCTCCCATCTTTAACTGAACTACACCTGACTGTTTGCAGCATCCTCCATCTCTGCTGTTTAATGAGGGCTGAGCGCTGCTTTACATCCTACCAGGGCAGACATGAGGAAATATACCACGTCTAATAATCCCAGAAATTATTCTTTTATAGTTAATGTGTGAATATTAGACCATCACCTCTAGTCTAATCAAACACCTGCTGCTGTTGTGCTGTGATGCATGTGAGAGTAAATGTAACGGAGACTTGAGGACAGGCATCGTCTCAAACCAAAGGTTTGCTCTGCAGCTCAAAGACAGAGCCGTGAGGGTCCACGAGGAAAGAGCAGGTACGGTACCCACAGAGCGCTCTGTCCAGACACGCCGAGGCCGTCGCGCCTACACCGCCCCCAGCTGTGAGGACGAGGAGGAGGGCGGGCTACGTGCTGGATCAGGCAGCTCTCCTTATAATGAACTTCTGTTAGGAGGTCTGAAAAGCCCGTATCGTACATGTGACCCCGCCCTCAGAGCTGCCGATGGCTGTGAGGTCGTTAACTGGACCGGATTTAACGCGTCCTGCTCGGTGGCTGTGTTATTCTGGCTCAGTGCGAGTGTGTGCCGCTTTCATGGCTGGCATGACTGCGGCTCTTTGTGGAGAAGGCTAAATAAGGTCAGCAGAGCTTTGTCTGCGGGGTGTGTTTAAAGCATCAGCTGTCGAGGCTCAGCTGACCAGAATGTCCTGGAAGGACGGGAGGCGGTGAAATCGGCCCCGAGGCCCCGACGAGCGCTCCGATGCAGCGGGAGGAGACAGACTGAAAGCTGGCTGTCCTACAGCTGGATCGTGTGTTTGTGTCAGAGCTCGTTCTGTCTGCAGATCTGTTAATGAGCGCCAAAGCCCGACGCTGCCCATCCATCATAACCACAACCACGTCTAATCCCCGATCGGAGAGAGGAGGCAGCTTTGCAACGTGCACGTCGACGCTGCTTCTGCAAGCACGAAAGCAAAAACCTCAATTGTCTCAACACAATCAAACAGGATGTAATAACTCGCCCGAGGAGCACGGCGGTCTCTGGAGCCGCTCGATAGTTTAGAAAGAGGAGAAACCGGAGAAAAGCAGGGGAGGCGAGTGAGTCAGTCCATAAAGGGGGAAATTACAGTGCGGAGCACGCTCAGTAAACAGTGTTTGTAGACGTGCACGTCCACGCAGCGCTGCAGGCCGGCCCGAAATCCACACGCAGCATTTTAATGCTATTTGTGGCAGAGCCAATTTAATGAGTCAGATAACAGCCATTACGGTCCCACGCCTCGAGGAACCGGCAGACAGCAAGGCTAACTCCCACACAACAGCAAGTCTGAGAACGGCGTCCCAGGTCACAGATAAAGGGAAATGAACAACAATGGGAGCAAAGGCAAGGAGGCGTGGAAAAAGATCGGCATTTCCCACACAGAGGCTCACTCAGACACTCAGGTACACAAACACAAGTGCAGGGAGGCAAATCCTGATCTCATCCACTGCTGAACTTCTAAGTTTGCTCCCATCAAACGACCTGAAACACTCAAACAGATCCATGTATGCTACACTGCACACAGCCTGTCCCCTCACATCACACCAACTCTGAGGGAACGACTAACGAGCAAAACAGCAGGAACGAGGCAGAAACACCGACTCGGCCAATCACTGCAGCTGATATGTTCATCCAGCCACCCGTCCTCTGACAAGTCTCTGAAAGTCGCTCCTCTGACCCTGACCATCGTCGGCTCTGCTCGGTTCATTCTGAGCGCGCTCAGTAATCAGAGGAGATGCTGGGATGACCTCCAGCAGGTCTGCGGTGACCCTGGATGGGTTGGTATGGAAACCGAGCCAGTTTCATGGACTAATCAGAATTTTTCTTTGAGATTTGTGAATCATTTCCACGATAATGCGACTCACAGTTCTCTGCCACAGTAACAGGAAGTCATTGTGTTTGCTGTGATCCGTTTGACATGTAAACAGTCAAAGACACGCAGGAAGTGAAGCACGGTGTTCCTGCGAAGAAAGGAAATCAGTTCACAGCTTCACAAAGACCACGAACACATGAGACCAGGGCCTGCAGCAGGTGGAGGTCTGGCACTGCAGCCAGGTGAAGCCGCTGAGCCACACAGGTGAGTAAATGTGAGCCTCCGACGTTCTCGCCCGTCTGGCTGCACATCAGCTGCAGGAGCAGAAGCCGAGCGGTGTGAACGGGGCCGACGTGGCCGGCGTCCAGATCACAAACACGAGGCAAAGCCAATTATCATGCAGGACTTGGTGGGCACACAAACCCAGACAAAAGCAACCGGTCCTGTGTGAAAGTGCGGCGTCTGCCCCGCAGCTGCTGCACGCACCTGTAATCTGACCCCAGATCAGGTCACTCAAGGAACCTGCAGCTCGTCTGGCACCGACTCGCAGACCTGCTGGCTTTTTATTTTCTGTTCGCTTCTTTAAAGCTCTGACGCTGAGCTGGGAGGATTTCAGGTTTCTATGAATGTGGCGTGAGCCGGATGGCGAGCGGAGCTGGCTGCCTCCCAGCTCCTCCAGCATCTGAGGACCACGTGTGCGCCTCACCATGCTCGGCGGGCTCTTCAGCTTTGCATGCCGAGCTGTCAGCGGCTGCCGGGCCTGCGCGAATCACCGAGTTAAACGAGTACATAACGGCCTCCTCGCAGAGCAGGAGCTCCAAACATGGCCGTGACATTTATCTGGAAAACATCCCGCGTAAGGCTGGATGTTGAGTTCAGCCTCTATGCATGCGTTACCTGTAGCAGGAGGCCACGCCCCCATGATTTTAAATACCTGAAAGAATCACTGCGGCCTTCAGACTCCAGTCACAAAAACAAGAATGTGACCTGTCACAACATGTGAGCTGCCATGTTTGGCATGTTGGTTTGTGTAGTTACAAAAAGATGTAATGTGATTACAGTTACAGCTCCCTGCAGAGAACTAAAGCTGGGAGTAAAACACATCCTTCAGCCTGACGAGGCGTCTGTGCACACGTGCACTGACCGACACGCTCCACGCACAATCCACAATCAGCCTGCGTGTTCCAAAACAGCCAATCACAGACGTGTACCATACGGACCCACTGATGAATCGCGTGGCTGCAGGTGGGGCCCAGCGGAGAGCCCGGCTGTGCAAATGTTTGTTCAAATTAACCAAAAATCCAGTAAAAACAAACTCCAATAATAACAGGAAGTTCAAAACTGCTTTCTAAGTTTAAGGGCGGAGTCCTGCAGCGCGGTGAGAGGCGAGGTTAAACCCTCAGCGACTGCAGGTTTGTGCCCCGACACGAGACCCAAGGAGTTGGTTTGTATCTCGGCCGGTTGGCCTGAGCGAGCAAAGCTGTGGGGATTTCTGGCTCTGCATTCCACTGTGCTGCCGACACCGAGCCCCACAAACCCTGACTACAGCACATTCCAGCGGCCGCGCCGCTGCCCGTCACGCAGGCAGATATCGGGCCGTTTGGGGAGAGGACACTACCAGTGTCTCAGCCCCGTGACACGAATGCACGCCGAGCTGACTCACAGCGCACATCCCTGTGTGAGCCACTAATACCGAAAACAACCAGTTTATACCCCATGTTGGCAAAACAGGACCATTCGTCCCACTGCTGCAAATCCCTGAGAAGATGTGCAGAGACCGTGAGTCACAGTTTGGCCTCAAACAGGCGTCCACAGAGGACACAGCTGACAAATACACACAAACCTTCATGTGTGGAGGCCCGAGAGCCAAACAGGAACGCTGCGGGCACAAAACCAGGACGGTCTTTGTGTCGTGACCCAGATTCAACAAGACATTTCACACAGAGATCATCTTTCCTCTTCATAAAGGAAATCAGCACTTTGTATTTATCTCAGTTATCTTTGTCTAATATTAACATTTAAATGTGACAAGTATGCAAAAAACAGCGCTGCACGCTCTGACGTGGCTGTGACATCATCGAATCAGACGGGCCTAAACAAACAAAGTCAGCTCTGCCTGATATTTACATGACATCATCAACTTCAGCTTCTGTGACTCTAACATCATCATCCTCCAGCTGAGCCCACACCTTCACACCAAGCACACCAATCGGTGCTGGGAGGAGCTCGTGGAGAGCGACATCATCTCTAACAGTCACTCACATAAACACGTGAACAGCACGTGTGCTGTTTCGACTTTAATCACAAATATCTGAACAGAGCTGTAATACCAAGGTAGTAAAAGTTTAGCAGGACAGACGCGGGCTGACGTGAGGCATCATCTCCCACCTCTGTGATATTATCACTTTAAATTCCTCCCACGGCACGCCGCCAGCTGGACTCGGGGGCCGTTCCTGTGGAGCCACAGACGGAGGTCAGAAAGAATCTGCAGCAGCTGCGAGCTCGTCCTGAAACCACCTCACAGCTCACGGTAGAAACTGTGAAAGAGTTTCAGATGAAGGGCTCGTCGCCTCACACGCAGCGGTGACGATGACCGGTGCTGAGCATTGAAGCTGCATTTACACCTCGACCAGCAGGCGCGACTTCCTGCTGAGATCAGCGCTTGAACAGGCCTTTCATCGGTGGCCACACACATCCTCCTCCATCCTCCTCTGGGGTATGTGGGCAGTGCCGCCGCCGAGGGCTGACGGGCAGGGAACGGCTAATTCTGGCACGCCTGGCTGAGTTGCCCCCTTTGTCCTGGATGAAGCTATTTATAATCCGGCGTATGACGTGCCCGCTTAAAGACAAAGGGGCCACATGTTTGGGACGGACATATGTGGAGCTGTGTGTTCTCCCGCTGAGCCGAGCCGCTACGACATGCTGACCAGCGCATGCCGGAGAATTTCCGTCCTTTCATGGCAGAGGAAGAAAAACATGAACAACAAAAAGTTCCAAAGACAATCAGAGAAGGAAGGGGAGGTCACTGAGACGCACTACGCCACGGCGAGGACGCTGTGGGCGCGAGGGCCTCGGTTTGGGAGAGGTCAGCTGACCCAGGCTGGGAGTCGGTGCTGACGAGGCCCGCCACAGGGTCAGAGCTCACTGTGGAGAAATGAGCCAACACGAGGAAGGGCAGCAGCGCTGCCGCTCACAATCGTCTTCATCTTGCTTTTACTCATCCTTGCCGCTCTAACGTGTCTCTGAAATGCCACGAGGGGCCGCACGCAGACGCAGCATCGTGACGGCATCAGTGGTTCTCCTCCAAACACGCCAAAGCGAGCAGATCCAGATGTGCGAGGCGAGGCTTCCGTTTTAAAAGTTTGCGCCCCCTCGTTCGCTGAAACTCTCTCAAGTCTTTGTCTCCCCGCCCTCTCCATCCTTCTTCTGTGGTTTCTTCTCCTCGGACGCTCCATCAGATGTTGTGCTCCTTGCTGAGGCTGTAAGACAGTCGTGCTCGATGCAGAGATTCTGAGACCACCATCAGCTCCTTCCTGTTTCCCGATGCCCGGTCACAATGGCCGTCAGAGCGTGGAAAAACGTCCGTGCTCCCGATGTGCAGTCTGCTTCCAGCGTGGCTCTTCTTCTCCACACTCGGGCTGAGGGACGGCTGTCCTCAACCGAACAGCGAGGAGCTGCTCGGTATGGCAAAACGTCTGATTCAGGTGCATGCAGAGACCATGATTATAAACAAATAAATAAACAATCAATAAACAATAAACAAGGAAGAACTGAACTCTCACAGAACAGCTGGGCAGGGAACAGCTGGGGAGGGAAAAGCTGGGGAGGGAACGCCCCCCCAGAGGACTTTTTAGCCCAATACTCTGACCCAAACCTTCCTACCTGGCCTGAAGGTCGGGCTCAGCGTCAGATACGAGCTCAGGCCTCAACAAAGCCCAGAATGAAAGCACAGCAGAATAATCACATCTATAACTCACATATTTACATTTTCAATAAAAAACTGAAGCAAAGATCTTTGATGTCACAGCTAGAAAACGACCACACCCACCCGGACATCAGCTGACCCCCACCCTCACTGTGTTTATCTTTCTCATATTTATTTTATATTTACAGTGAACAAAGCGTCAGAGCTTTTCTACTCAGAAAAACTATAAATCACATAACTGCAGTTTTTGGAAACGTCGCTGGGACAAATATGAAGAACACAAACGGTGCGAGACCCCTGATTGGCTCCGGTGTACAAATGCAAACACACAAGAAGCAAAAAGCAACACCAGGATCTGCTGATGTGTCCCTAAAACACCAGCTGGGACGGTTTAGGGGAACACAAGCCCCAGAATCTAACTTCAGCTTCATACCAGCTTGGTTGGACCTCTTTCAAAGACCTGCAGGCTTCCTGTGACCTCACAGATCGACTTTTAAGGTGGATCCATCAGATTCCTCCTGAGCTCAGCCTGCGGTGTCCTTAAAGCTTTCCTCTTCTCCAGCTCGGAGACCCTAAAAGCGCCTCTCCTGCACTCTCTGATCCCCAGAACCTGCAGCAGCACGGCTCGGTGTGCACACGTCCCCCTCCACCCTCACTAACACTAACTCGGACCGTGTCTCGGGCCTCCCCCTCCGCAGGCTTGCGGATCGAGCCGCTCTCCGCCGGGAGAAAGTACTCACAGGATGGTGGTCTGCGGAGAGACCGCCGGCACCGTCTCCAGGTTCAGATGCATACATCTCACCGTGGTCCGGAAACACAGGCAGCGGCTCGGACAGCACAGGCCGAACCGCCGAACCGCGCAGAGCAGCAGCAGAGAGGAGAGCAGCGCAGCCCGCAGCGCCATTTCTAACCGAGCAGAGCCGAGCGACCAGCTGCCCCCTCACACACACAGACACACACTCAGAGAGGAGGAGGAGAGGCAGCACACACACACACGCAGGCTGGAAGCTCGCAGCCCGGCTGTCCTTCTCTGAGCGGAGCTCCTGAAACAATGAAGGAAACTTTCAGAAGTTTCACCGACCAATGATTCTGAGCAGGACAAAGCTGCAGTTTCTCTGCCCACCGGCAGGGGCAGCAGGGAGTCCGCCCCGTGCGCTCACATGTTAGAACTTCACAGCAGAAACAAACATGTTTACAGCCGGATACACACACAGTCCTCCCGCTTTCTTCTAAAGGAGATCATATGCAGCAGTACCATCGCTCAGCGAGCTCACGGCTCCAACATCCCTGCAACTTTTGTTGTAGCAACTTTTATATTGTTGCAACTTTTGTTGTAGCAACTTTTATATTGTAGCAACTTTTTAAACCAACACTGTGTGCACGAAAAGACTTCAGCATGTGGAGACAGTCATTCATAATCATAACTGTATTTGTACAACATGCACACACAGAGCTGCAGAGGAAACACGAACAACAAAGCAGCAGGTCAGGTGTTGACGACACTTCTCTGCTGCTGATCTTCTGGACAAAAGTCTCCACTCGGGTCTCATCTGTCCAAAGGATGTTGTTCTGGTGCAGCTTTGCAAACCCAGGCTGTGTTGCCATGTTCTTATTAAAGGAAAAGGCGTTCTCCTGCAGGGTCAGTTTTTCTCATTGTGCTGTCATGAACTTTGACCTTTAACCTGCTGACTGAGGCCTGTAGAGTCGGACGGGCTCTCAGGGTTTTTCTTCCTGGTTTGAACTTTGAGTTAATTTGCTGGGACGTCCACTCCCGAGGCTGAAATGATGATGATGGTAAAGGAACATTTTATTTTATGATATTAATTATAGTTATGATTGAAAATAAGGCGTCGAATCTGTCCACAGTTAGTGGACACCCGCTCTGTTAACCATAAACTACACATTCATGTCATTTCCATTATTTCTATTCATCTTTGTGTTATCGGCACAGTGAAGCAGCCACAGGTTAAACGTTTGGCTTTGTTGACATCTGCTGGAAAATTCACGAATTACAGCACATACCAGCAAGTAATGACGTCACTATCTTCAGTTGTTATTACGGGTGTTTTAAATGTGTTTTTATTGAGCTAATATTAATTATTTTCTGATTTCCACTCATAAATCCGCTCTTCCAAATTATGCATGTTCATATTAAACGTGACTAAAGTTCCTAATAATGAGCTCAGTGTCTGTGCAGTGATCTCTGTGCTCCTACAGCCGAACAGCTTTATTACTTTTCTTTCTAATCAGTGTTTTTTCTGTTCCGTTTTTATTAGTTTCAGTTTTACTGTCCTTCATTCTTCGTTTCTTATTTAGTGGCAACTCAAACAAAATTCCACAGTAAGAAGACGACGTGGAGGGTCCTTCAGGACCTTAAAGCCTGCGACTGAGGGCGTACTTCCCCTGTAATTAAAACGTCAACTTATTTCATCTGAAATGACAGTATAATTATATTTACCAACAAATACTTTAACAAGTGTGCACTAGAAAAAGGAGGTATAGTTCAGGTTTGTACAGGAAACAAAGAAATACTGTAATTTAATTGTATAAGTAATTTTATGTAGTACTATCTTTTCTGTGGTTTCCAGCCAAGGAGACACAAATTATAGTGTAAGTAATTTTAGTGCTTTGCGTCTCCTTACCTGTAAAATACCCAGAAGTTAGACAAGGTTCAGATGCTTCATAATAAGCCCCGTGATGAAAAAAGTACAGCATACATATGATATGTTGCTGTTTTTTTGGTTAAATTACCAGGAAATTACAGAGTACCTAAAACCTGTTACAGAAGAATTTGTGTCTCTTTTCCTGTAAAACACCTGAAGTTAAGGGTAACTTAGAATTGCTCATGCACCTCGTAAATGTACCTACAGTATCATTTTTTCCTCGACTCGTCCCATCATGCCTTCTGTCTGCCCACTTTTTAACTAAACCCAGAGTTTGGCTAAAACATGACCAATCATTATTTCCACAGTTTGGTTACAAGCACAGTGTCGCCACCAGCTCCAACCTGGCCAAGGAGCTGGAGAAGAACTCCCAGACCAGCATCACTTACAGCAGCAACAAACCGCAGGGCCGTCGCTCCCAGAGTTCAGAGACTCGGAGACACGAGCCATGAAGGATGTGGCAGCACGACTTCACAGCAACATCAGACCTTTATTTCTAGAAAATCCATAGCTTGTGTTTGAATTTCCTCTTTTTTGTTTCAAAAGTTTCCTTTGCTTTTTATTTCCTGGAAGTGAAACGCCTCGGTTTAGTTCCAGTCCAGTTTCAGTCTCTAGAATAACCTCGCAGCAGGAGCATGGTTTCTCCGGGCTCCGTGAACTTCCCATCAAACATTAAAACAAACGTGTCTGTGAGTCCAGAAACACTGATCAGGTTTCAACTGCAAAGATGAAACACTGAAGACAGCTGAGTTCCACATCAGACTTCTGATCCTTTCTGCTAACATGTTTATCTCCAGTAAAGAAGCCCCACCAGCCTGACAATCACACTTTATGTTTCTGAGGGGCAGCCAGTCTTATCCAGTCCGAACTGTCAGGTGGAGCTATTAGCCTGCAGCTAATGTGAAACAATGAAACTCAATTTACTGTGACAGTTTGAAACAGCCCTCACTGTCAGCTGCAGGCTGACAGGAGCACAGGAGCCAAATTATCCATCCACCCATCTCCACTTATCCAGGGTCAAGTCTTTGGGAAGCAGATGAAGCGCAGAAGCCCAGACCTCCCTCTCCCAACCAAACTTATCGGGGGGAACAGTCAGGTGTCTGTCCTGGGTCGACCCCGGGTCCTCCTCCTGGTGGGTCACACCAGAACACCTGACCCACCAGGAGGAGGACCCCGGGTCCTCCTCCTGGTGGGTCACACCAGAACACCTGACCCAACTCAGCTGGCTCCTCAGCAGGTAAGTAGTAATAAAAGGCAAAATTACTGCATGAATGATTCACCTGGATACGTGATGGTCAAAAAACAACAACAAAAAAAAGAAATAGTTTCCTGAAAGTATGTCTAACAGTAATAACTGTCATGTGATCATGCTACCCCAAACTATCAAATCAAGGTCCTAAAGTAGCCCGTAGTATGGATATCATCCATCCATCACTTCTTCTGCCCCAGCTCAGAGTCATGGGGGCCTGTCTTAGCTATCATAGGGCAACAGGTGAGGTACACCCCAGACAGGTGGGTGTGGCCAGCAGCTGAAATTTAGCAATAAATCAATGCAATATTTACACATTACAGTGTAGTAAAAAGGGGACTGTTCAAAAACAAACATACATATTACTAAACAAATGTTAAAATTCAGAGATAAACGTTATGATTATTTACGCTAAATAATAATATTAATCCATTTTATTTATAGCACCTTTAAGACCCTCAAGGTCACCTTACAATAGCACAGAACAGTAGCAACAGTACAATATAAAAATACATAAATAAAATTTAGACATAAGATAAATAAGAAAAAAAACAAGCATGAAAGTTAGGGTAGGTAAAAAATGGACTAAGACAGAATCAGCTGTATGCAATCCTGAACAGATGGTTTTGAGATGTGATTTAAAAGTAGAGAGTTTGTGGTCCGGAGATCTAGTGGAAGTGCATCCAGAGTCTCGGGCAGAACAACTGAAGGCTCTGAGTCCCAGGATAGTCAGGCGAGCAGGTGGAACAGACAGAACGAGGGAGGCGAGTATGTATGGAGGCGATCAGATAAATATGGAGGAGCGAGGTTATGAAGCACTTTGAAAGTAAGAAGCAGGATCTGACACGGAGGTGAACTGGAAGCCAATGCAGCTGTTTCAGAACAGCTGTTATATGTTCAGTGGATGTAATTCTGGAAACAATAAGAGCAGCTGTATTTTGAACTAACTGCAGTTTATGGAGAGATTCATGAGGTAGAGCATAAAGTATAAAATAATAGAGTAAACACTATATTTAGCTGGTTGGACTACCCCCTCAGAGGAGGGGTCGCCTTATCTTAATGACCTTGTAGTACCATATCACCCTATTGAGCACTTCGCTCTCACACTGCAGGCCTACTTGTTGTTCCTAGAGTATTTAAAAGTAGAATGGGAGGCAGAGCCTTCAGTTTTCAGGCCCCTCTTCTGTGGAACCAGCTTCCAGTTTGTACTGGAAATACGTTTGAACTAGCTGCGATGCTACAGGCTCAAGCTGCTGGGGACTTCCCATGATGCACCTGTCTCACATCTTTTCACTGTGGTTACACACCAAAGCAGACGTCTGCTTCTGTCGGAAGTCACTTCCTGTTAAAAGGGAGTTCTTCTTTCCCACTGTTGCCAAGTGCTGCTCAGATTGTTGGGGTCATCTCACAAGATAAAGCATTCTCAGACGATAGCTGATATGAGCCGGTGTTATATCAATAAAACACAGCAGAAATAAACCTGAACAACGAAGCCGACAGTGAGTCGGTCCACACAGACTCCCATGTTAAAACTTAAACACATTGCTTTGGTACCTACAGATAATTTCCACTTCATAACACCTGTATGGGGGGGAGACTGTTATAACCTACCTGTTTGCATTATTAGGGGTGTGGCTTCTGACTGACAGGTGGACAGAGACACAAGCAGCTCTCTGTTAGGTTTCACCTGAGCTAACTGGAGTCCATGAACTGGACCTCTTGAACGTGTTTGTGTTGTTGGAGCCTTTCAGCGCATTTTTAATGACATCATCTGACCAATAACATGGCTGCTGTGAGGTCACTGTACTAACAGACCATTCACGAGGTCTCAGTTTCAGCTTTGGTGACATTCTTGGATTTTAATTGGATGTTACTGACCATGGAATGTCACCTCTCTGGTGGGGAAGGAGCCTGAGTTAGTGCGCGAGGTTGAGAGGTTCCGGCTAGATAAGTCGGGCTCACCTCTACGCATGGCTTGGGCTCTGGAACCAGTCTCCTGGAGAGGGGCTGGACTCTGTCTCAGTCTGGAGTTGCCCCTGGTGAGAGGCGGCGGGCTGGGGTGGGTATTCTAATATCCCCTCGGCTTGCTGCCGGTACGTTGGGGTTTTTCCCGGTGGAGAGAGGGTTTGTTCCCTGCGCCTTAGGGTCGGGGAACGGGTCCTGACTGTCATCTGCGC